AAAAAATACCTTCATGCAAGTAAATGACTTCTAAAGAAACTGATTAGGGCACAAATACATGATAACAAAACTAGGCTTCATATTTTATCTTTTATTCCCTACCTTTTTTGGTTTTTGCAGTTTTTTTTCCTCCAACATTTTTATCCATCTATTGACATCAAGAAGATGTGTACAATCAATTTTAGAACATTTATTCTTGTACTTATTATTATTAGTTCCCTCTTTACCCCCAACCTCCCCTGCCATACAGGGAATGTAGTCATATATATTTTGAATCTGCAGAATGAGCTAGCTAAGACTGGAGAAATGACTGAAGAGCCTAGTAACTCGTCACATAAATAAGCAACCATTGAAATGAATGCTATATAAGTTTTCACAGACTTTTGTTTTGAGATGGCTTTTAAAAATTAAAAATGTAGTACTTGCTCCCCATTTAAGGAATAAGTGGTGATAATGAATGAAATGTGTAATATGGTAGCTTGGAATATGAAATCTGAATAAAATCTGGAGTTTAATTAATGGAAATTCATTTAATTAATGTTAATAAACCAGTGTTGGTTTCTTAGTTTTGACAATTACACCACAGCAATGTATTATTAGGGGGAAATGGGTATGAAGTGTATAGCTCTCTCTGTATAGCTTTTATACAAATCCAAAATTATTTTTAAAATATTTTTATTTAAATATAGAAAAAATTTAGAGAAAATACTTTATCTATATCATTCTTCCCCTCTCCTAAGACATGACGGTTCATATAACATTTAGCAACTTTTTTAAGATCCCATTCCAGGCACTTGAGCCAAGGGGCCAAGGTTTTGTTGTTGTGTTGTTCTTGTTGTTGTTCTCAACTACATTTAGTGTGTAATGCATACTTCAGTCTAATGAGTACATATAAGAAATTTAGAATAGTTATGAAGATATTATCAGGAAGTTCCAGTAGTCCTATTGCGTGAGATAAGACCAAGTTTTCAAATATATGAATTCTACATGTAGTGTAGACCTAATGGTTTTCTTAGTTTAGTGGTTTTATAAACTTACAACACCTCTCTTTGAAAGAAGTAAAGTGTTTATTGGGGCTTTGGACTTGGGAGGAATTAAGAGGCGATTTTAATGAACAAGGGAAAGAGGTAAGGCCTGAATTCGACATCCTTATGGAAGCCTGAGTGCAGCAGCTCATTTTCATGTGTAGACGACATGTTTTAACATGATCCACTTTCCTTTCTATTCGTCATCCTATGAGAGCCCAAGAGAAGGTTTTTTGTTGTTCAAAATAATATCAACTTCTTCTTTCAAAAAATGTTTTATGTTAACAGAAATACGGCCAGCCTATTCAAATGCGGTACATGGAGCATGAAGAGAGACCAAAAGCTTTAAATGACTTGGGGAAAAAGGTCCAGCTTGTTATGAAAGTGATTGAAGCATACAGAAACAAGGTATTGAATCCCGAAGCTAGCTGGTGGTGATGGCATGTATGTACACAGTGCATGGAGAGGGCAGGGTACCCGGAGCAATACTCAGCTGCCAAGCAACAGCAGTCGTTGCTACCAAAGTCCTGCGATTTTGTGCACCAGACTTAAGATTCATGTTTGTATTCGAGAAGTCTTAGTAAAGGATACTGATAGATTAAACATACAGTATTGTGTGGCTTTTATTTTTTAAAGTCCACCGAACCACATTACAAGTTTATCCAGTCATCAAATTCATTGTTATTAGAGATTATTGCTCTTGTGTCTTTCATATTCTGTATATTCCTCCGACCTTTAATTTAATCCTTGGCGTGTCTGGTTTGATCTTAGTTGCTCTGTATCTTCTAATTTATTAGTTATCAGTTACCTCCTCTACACTTTATTCCTTTTATGTACATACCCAAAGCTGTATCATGAGGTTTTTTTCACCGTTGTAAACCCCAAAGACACTCTCATATAGAAGACAATTTTTATTTCATTTAACCGTAAAATGCAACAAAAAATTTTTTTAGGTTTTTTGTGGGCCTTAATTTGTACAATCATTCAATTTCAGTGCAAAAGCAGCTGTAGATAATATGTAAACTAATGGTTAGGGCTCTAGTCCCAAAAACTTAAAAAAAAACACACACACACACAATGAACAGTTCAAATTGAGCTATGATTTTCTAAGCCCCACTCAGTAAATATCCACTGTAATTTACCAGTTTTTATCATTAATGTTAAAACAATCTATGAACAAGAGGCCAGCAGCAGAAACCTTCAGGCATGGCATCGTAACAGTTTGTGTTAATTTTCAAACAGTGTTTCTCACAAGGATATGTCCTTTTCTTCAATATGTAAGAAACAAAACTGTAATGCTGGAGCAATTTGTCTAGGACTACTACACAAGTAGTAAATGATAAAGTTAGTACTCATACGTGAGCAATCTGAACTCGGCATGCAAACACTTAACAATCACATTCAGTCTAAAACAAGACTTGATTTTACGTAGACCTCAAGACTGGAAGAAAATAAATCAATGTAAGAAAAGGAAGACTCCCTGAAGAAGTCAGGTTTGCAAAACGATTATTAGTATAAGACACTCAAGGGAAAGAAAGAAAGCTCTATGGAGTGTAATTTGTTGGAACTAGTCTCTTGGGTGTGTGTAATTTGCATATGGCTTCTTCACATGGATACGTGTAAGGTAGTAATTCAATAAAAGGCTTGTTTTTCATTAGAGCTTACCAAGGTGCTTCTTGAAAAATCTGTTATATTAAGTAAAGTTCGGTGGTTTTTTAATAGGATGAAAAATATGATCATGTGGATCCTGCTGAAATGGAAAAAGTTGAGAAATATATCAGTGAAGCCATGAATTGGCTGAACAGTAAGATGAATGCACAGAACAAACTAAGTCTCACTCAAGATCCTGTTGTGAAAGTTTCAGAAATAGTTGCAAAGTCAAAGGTAAGAAACTTTTTAAATTATTTTAATATGAGGTCAAACACTAATTTTTATCTCTAATTTTAAGAAATTCACTTGGAGAAATTCAACTTGAACAGAAAAAAATTGAAGACTTTTTTAAAAATTATTTTTAATCCTAGATGGGATATCTGTTCCTTGATTTAATTTGTCATGTACTTCAGGGTGCTTTTAAATTATGAGTATAATCTAGGATGGAATAAGGTAACATGAGGACTTCTGACTATCAAATATTTCAGACTTACAGATCAGTTAAGACATGCAAGTTTCCAGTGCTCCCTAGGTAGTGTCGGTCTGTCAATGTAGTTTGAAATGTGTAAAATCTTAATTGTAAGGTAAACTTTCAAATTTAAAGAAAATTTCTAATGAAAGCGTCAAAGGTTACCAGAAGGAACTTAGGGAGAAAATTATACATCTATACACACACGGAGAAAATAAAGGTCAGTATCCAAAGAATTAAAATGTTAACAAAAGAAATGAAGTATCTGTCCAATAAATATACAAAAAGATGGTCGTCTTCATTGATTTACAAAATGTGACAATCTTTACTCACCCATCTGACATGGTTTTGTTTACATATATAATCCTTGCCATAGTAGACAAGGATGTGGAGACATGGACACTTTCCCAGAAACAGCTTAATTAATTTATCACAACTTCTCTGGGACATTGTACCAAGTATATGTGGAAATCTATAAAGTTGAATACTCCTTACCCCAGAAATCACAGTTACAGGAATTATCCTAAATTGATAATTACAAATGTATATGTAGAAGATATAGAGCAGTGGTTCTCAAACTTCCCAATGTCGTGACCTTTTAATACAGTTCCTCATGTGACTCCGAACCATGAAATTGTTTTTGTTGCTAATTCATAACTGTAATTTTGCTACTATTACAAATCATGATGTAAGTATCTGGTATGAAGGATGTATTTTCATTGTTATAAATTGAGCATAATTAAAGCATAGTGATTAATCACAAAAGCAATATGTAATTATATATTGTGAAATATTTATTTCTGATAAATCATTTAAATTTTGTCTTGAAGCATGGTTGTAGCATGGGTAACAGTCTTCCCGCTGGGTACTCGTAGGTCTGGACAAGGATAGAGGAGCGGTGTCTTGGTTCCTAAGACCATCAGAAACACATGTTTTCCGACGGTCTTAGGCGACCTCTGTGACAGGGTCATTCGACTCCCAAAGGAGTTGCAGCCCACAGGCTGAGAACCGCTGAAGAGAGACCATTAGTTTTAACCACAAAAAAGAGAAGTAGCTTACTTTTAGTAGGAAACTAGAAAGATTGGTGTACCATGTAATACTATGCAGCCACTAAATAAAATACTTTAGACACAGCTGTGCCTATTTATATATAAATAAATTATTCATAGATTTATAGTTTTGTATATATGTTTATTGTTGTTAGGTGTTGTACAGGTATCTG